AGAAATATAAAACCAGCCCGCCCGCGGCCCCCCCCCCCACCTGCCATGAGACACGGCGCCGGAGCGGTGCCCCTGCTGCTCAACATGTACCTGCCAGGTACGGGCGGACCCCCCCGGCTGCTGCCCCGCCGCAGCGCCCTGCTCCGCACAGCACCCCGGCCCCCGCCCGCCTGCCCCGCTGCTGCCCCACAGCACCTCTCTGCTCCGTCTCCTTCCAGCGCCCACCCTGCCTTCTCCTCTCCCTCCATCCATCCTCCCTTCCTGCCCTCCAGCTCCCCAACCATCCCTTCCTCCTTCCTTCCAGTCGCCCTTGCAGCCTTCCAAGCCTGCACACCTGTCCTCCCTTCCATCCTTCATCCACCCACTGTCCCCCTGTCCTTCCATCCCTCCATCCACCTTTCTGTCCTTCCAACCCATCCTTCCACCCTTCCATCCATCCTTCCACCCCACCCACCTGTCCCTCCGTCCCTCTTTCTGTCCCCGCTACCAGCCATCCCCTCCATCTACCCTCTGTCCCTTCCATCACCCATTCTTCCACCGTCTTACACATTACCTGCCCTTCCTGCCATCCTTCCACCGCTTGCCCTTCCTTCCCTCCTTCTTCTTATCCTTCCCTCCATCTGCCCATCCATCCACCCATCCTCCCTTCTGTCCTTCCATCCACCCACCCATCTCTCCTTCCTTCCATCCACCTCTCCATCTATCGCTCCTTTCCCCAGCCATCCGCTCCCCGAACACCGACACCTATCCTTCTTTCCACCCACCGCTCCTGCCACCCGTCCTTCCACCCCACCCGCCTCCTCTCCCTCTCCCCCTGCCCCGCAGCTCTCTCCCTCTCCTCTCTCCTCCCTACCCCAGCCCGTGGGATTTTCTATTCCTATTTAAAAGCTTCCCCGGCTCCATCGGAAATCGGATTTCCTTTTTCCTGGACGCGTTTCCTGGCTTCGCCGCGGCGGCGGGGCAGGCGAGGGGGAGCGGCAAAGACGGCAAGAGCCAGGCGTGGGGGTCCCTCAGCCCGGGCGTGCAGAAAGGTAAGAGCACCGCTGCCCCTCCCCTGGGGGCTGGGGAGCGGGGATCCCCCGGGGCACACACACCCTCCCCTGTCCTGCAGCCCTCAGGGACCCGCTCCCGGCACTGCGGAGCCCCGCTCCCTGCTGCTGCGGGCGGCTTGGGCTGGGAGCATCCCACCACCGAATCCCACCGGGAGAGTGGCCGAGCCCCGACAGCTGGGAGCCACTGTCACGTTGCAGTGGAGGGGAGCAGGGTGCCCACTGCGCCCGGCCCCCCAAAACCCCGCAATGGGGTGCGGGGTCCCAGCTCGGATCCCCCAGGTGCTTCGAGGACATCCGACGGGGAGGGAGCTGCCAGCCAGCCCAGGAGCTGGGGGGGCTAATCCGGGCTCGGGGGACCTGGGAGCAGGGGAATGAGGTGAGATACCACCCGGGAGGGAGCTGCCGGTGCAGGACTGGGGGCATGAGTCGGCTGGGAGATGGTGGATCCCCGGGAGCCAGAGCCATCCGTCTGGGTCAAGCCATCCAGGGATCCCGGGGATCGGCCATGGGCTGGCCAGGGAGCAGCCTGGAACCTGCTGGGGAGCGCAGCAGGGCTGGTCATCGGGCGGACACGGGGCCAGCGCTGCGGTGTTTAGGCCATGTAGCTTGCCTGCCTGGCAAGGAGACAGGGCTCAGGGGGTGGTCTGAGCAGGAAAAGGGGAGCCCTGGTTTAGGAGTGTGAGGGGGGGCAAAGCTGGGACCGGGTGGGGCCCTTTTGCCTCTGCTCTGCGGACTCTGCCCCAGCCATCCTCTGCGCACTGTGCTGCGTTGAGAAGGACCTTTTTGGATTCCTGGAGGTTTCCTCAAGGATCTGCCGGGTGCTGCAGCATAGCACCCTGTGGCAGGAAGGATTGAACCTCGCCATCCCACACAGCTGCACCCCCCCCAACACCTCCTTGCACGGGGTGGGGAACCCCGTGGGTGGGGGATAGCAGGAGCCCAGGGTGGGAGCTGCGGGGATGGGGAAGAGGCGAGGGCTGCGGATGTACCCTAGAGAGGAGAGATCCCCCACCTCGGTCCCAGGATGGGGGATTTGGAAATACAACACCTTGGAAAGACCTGGGCTCGTCTGCCTGGCTCGGGATGTCTGAGAAAGGTTTGGTGGAATGGGGACGGATGGGGAACGGCCATTCCTTGCTTCTTCCAGAGCAAGAATTGGGGGGCACCATATAAAATAGGTGGGTGTGAAGCAAGCAGGACAAGGTGGTTCTTTGTGGGAAACGTCGCTGAGCTGTAGGACTGCCTGCTGCAGGGGTCGTGGGTGCTAAACCTCTATATGGGACCCAAGCACCTTTAGGCAAAACAGTGGCAGAAAAGCACAGGGAGGAGGATGAAGTGCAAAGGCTCTGCTGTGGGAAGAGCCTGTGCTGCAAGGGCTGGGGTCGGTTGCAGGGGTGTGCAGGGGGTGCTGCTTGGGAGGGAGTGGGGGGGGCTAGGTAAGCGCAGGGCTCCTCTGCAGGGTGGCTGGATCCCAGAGGCGGGACTGCTCATCACCGTAGTGTCCAGGGACCCTCTCCTCACCTCTGGCCAGAGTCAGTGGAGCCAGTCCTTGTGCCTCACCATGGGCATGTCCAGGGGTGCCAGGCGCCTGTGTGTGCACAGCCTCGCACAGGGGCATCTTGGACACCCACCAAGGGTGCTCCTCAGTGCAAGCTGCGGGCACAATGGCCATGGTTCAGAGAGGATGGTTTTCCGCTGGAAATAAGGAACACTGGTGCCTGATCCAAAGCCACAGCAGGTTCTGCCCTGTCCTGGTCTCTCCTTCCCCTGTACCTGCCTGTTCCTGCCAGGGGTGCAGGTCAGAGCAGTGTTGCACCCCGACTTCATCTCACCATGGAGACATCCTTGCAGGGCACAGTGCCCCTAGAGATGGGCAGGGGCTGTGCTGTGACACCAGCCCAGTTTCAAGCAGAGGTGGCAGTGGGGAATACTGGTGCTGGGATAGATGTGAGTACCGCCAAGACACCTCCTTCTTGGGGCTGCAGATCAAAGAACCAGACCAGATTCTCACACCAAAGCAAATCAGCAGGTATTCACCTTCAGTGGGGCAGGAATGAGGGTGGGAGGGATGTGGGGAGCCCGGATCCAGACCCACTGCAGCCTGCATTGGCCTCTGAGCCCTCCTACCCCTATCCTGAGGTGCAAGGGCATCTTCTCCTCCTCTTGCTTGGGGGGCAGGACAGGGTAGGGATGCTGCAAAGGAGACATGACCTCATTACCATCTTCTGTGTCTCTAGAGCAGGGAAGATGCAATGAGGTGCATCTGAAACCTGGGTCCAGGATGGGGCAACATAGCAGGAGGTCAAGGAGACTGGGGCACATCCTGCTCCGCTCCTTGTGCTCTGAGAGGGAGCTTTAACCTCTCTGGGCCCCGGCCTTGCAGGCAGCGGGCAGATCCAGCTGTGGCAGTTCCTGCTGGAGCTGCTCTCGGACCGGGCCAACCTGAACTGCATCGCCTGGGAAGGCACGAATGGGGAGTTCAAGCTGATCGACCCCGACGAGGTGGCACGGCGCTGGGGCGAGCGGAAGAGCAAACCCAACATGAATTACGACAAGCTGAGCCGGGCGCTGCGCTACTACTACGACAAGAACATCATGACCAAGGTCCACGGCAAGCGCTACGCCTACAAGTTCGACTTCCACGGGCTGGCGCAGGTGTGCCAGCCGGCCGCCCCCGATCACACCCTCTACAAATTTCAGGGCAACCTGGCCCCGCTGCCCTTCTCAGGCATCTCCAAACTCAACCTCATGACCTCAGGGGTGACACCGGCCGGCTTCTCCTACTGGCCTGGCTCCAGCCCGTCCCTCTATCCCGGGCACGGGCTCCAACCCTCTGCCCCGTTCAGCGCCATGGCAGCCTCCCACCTCAACAACATGAACAACCATTACCATTAGAGGCTCGGCCACGCCAGGCGGACCTCCCCATCCCTGGCAGCATGGGGCTGTGGAGCTGGGGAGCTCGGCAGGGGGGGATGGGGGGGTGGGATTGTGCCCTGCTCTCGGTTGTCCCCTTTTAGATTTGGAGAGTGGGGGGGGGGGGGGGGGGGGTGTGCAGGGGACGAGGAAAAAAGGGGGGTTGGGGTGGGCCCTGCTCGCGGTTGTCCCCTTTTAGGTTTGGGGGGGGGGGGGGGGGGGCGAGGGGTGTTTGCAGGGTAGCTGGGTTGGTTCCCTGATGTGGGTGGCTGGAGGAGAGAAGCCATCTAAATTTAGGGTGAGGAGGGATCCATGATACTGGGAATGGATGCAGATACCTAAAGCAGGGTGTGAATGGAAAGAAATACCATGGGTTCTCCTCCTGGCAGGGACCGTGCCCCCCTTTTCCTTTGCAACATGCCACCCACCCCATAAACGTCCTTAGCTCTGCCCTCAGCCTGTGCCTGCCCTCCCCTTTCCCTGCAGAGAGGAGCAGGAGCTGGGGCCCCAGGGCAGCTCTGTCCATGGGTGAAGGGCCCACTGGACAGGGGCAGGGAAAGGGGACCCTTCTTGCTGCTCCTTGGTCCCCCACCTTTGTCTCCAAAGCTTTCCTTTCCTTCATCCCTTCTACACCTCCTGCTGATGGTGGCTTCCTCCAGACCTCAGGAGAAGCCTTGGTCTGGAGAGCAGATGCCCTTCATGGGTCAACTCCTGTCCGGGGGAAGTCTCTGGGGATGAAGGTGCCTGGGGCAGGTGTGGGGGGCACTGCCAGCCCTCAGGGCAAGGCCAGACCCCGGAGGCAGCAGAGCCTGGCCCCTGTAACTCTGCCTTCTCCCCAGTGCCCAAGGACGATGCCACAGAGCGGGACGGTCCCCGACACCCTGCACACAAGCCCGTGTCCTGCTGGCCACTTCCAAGTTTAATGCTCCAGTTTTACTGTGGCTTTAGCCCCTCGCATGCAGGGCTTGGTGAGACACCCTCCACGGGTGGGGACATCCCCAGGGACAAGTCTGGGTGGGAGGTGGAGCAGGAGGAGGGAAGACAGCAGGGCTGGGAGCCCCAGGCACCGAGGGGCAGCCCTGGGTTTCTCCCCCTGGGTCCAAGGATGTGCCCCCATTGTCCGGAGCAGGACTCTGGCCCAGTGGATGCAGAAGAGCTGGGCGTGCTGGGCTCTGCGCTGGCTGGGGGGAGGGATTGGTCTTCAATAAAACAGAGAGGTGCTGTGACCTGTGTCCTCTCACGTCTGCAGGGGGCTGGTAAGAGGGGAAAACACCCAGCAAATCCCCTCCCATTCGAGCCAGAGCACCTGCAGGGCTGGGGTGGGGAGGATGCAGACACCCTGCTGCATCACCTTTTCTCCAGGCATCATCTCTGGCTCTTACAGCACCCAAGAGATAGGGCAGAGCTGGAAACCTCTGGGCTTCTTGAGACACCCCTCCAGGGAAGCCACATACCCTGTTCCCAGGCTGGCAAGGGGATGTGGCAACTGGAGGCAAAGAGGAGATGCAGTTGGCCTGGTGGGGTGTCTGCCACCTTGCCATCATCCAGGGGAATCTGGTCTGTCAGGAGCCAGATCTCTCGTGACCCACAGAGCCCTGTGCAACCAGCTTGGGGCAATGCACTGGGTGCAGCACAGCCTGATCCTGCAGCAAGTGTCCCTGCTGGGCTGCGCTGTGCCAGGAGCGGGGAGGTCCAGAGCTGCGGGGCCAGGCTCACATGTGACATTGATGCAGGGGTGAGCAGGGAAGCACTGCTTGCCCAGCTTCAGGAACATGCCCACAGATCCACTGGTGCCCGTGGTGGCTGGTGTGGGCTCAGGGGCTGCCCCCTGCCTGCCCCCCCTTGAGGCTGTGCTCCCCATCCCACCTGCAGTCCAAGGTGCCAAGGCTGGGGGCCAGGCTTACAGCAGGGATCAGATTGGCTGCATAGGGGCGTGCTGTGCAATTACCCAGCCCATGGAGGGGTGGTCAGCCCCCAGCCCCTCTCCCTGCACCCCCCAATCTGGGGGCTCCACGCTGCCCCCTCTGCATCCCTCCAGGGTCTGGTCACTCTCACAGCCTTGGTGGCATCTGCTCAGACGAGTCCTCACTGCCCTAATCAGCTTAACAGAGAGGGATCTGATGTCAGTGTCTCCTCTGGGGAGGGCTTAGGCTTCAGGGCGGGGGGGGTCTGATGCTGCCAGCAGTGAGCCCATGTATGGGAAAGGAACTGCAGGGACTGGCATTGCACAGCCTGGTCCCCAAGGACGGCAGGAGGTGAAGTGGTGGGGAAAGGAGTAGTTACCCCCATGCAACCAGCACTCAGGCTGGAGACACCCCCTTGCCCCAAGCTTAGCCTTGCAAGGGCAAAATGGGTGGGTTGGTCACAGCTGGCTCCCTCGGAGCCGGGGCAGGGGGCCGTGCCTCCGCTGGGGGAGCCCGCTTTGGGGCTTGGGTAACTGCATGATGCAGGGCAGGACATAGATTAAGGGATGTGGGTCACTAGGAACTCTCCCCCCCAACATCCTGCTCCTGTCCCTCCTGTCCCTCTGCCGGTGCCTGCACCAGGGAAGCCCAGGTGAGCCCAGTTCCCTCCTCATTCCCAGCCCTGCAATCCGGGTCCCTTCTGGATTGGAGGCCAGACATGCTGGGGAAGGGGGGAATTACCTTTTGGGGAGAGGGAGGACCACCGCACACCCTCAATGCAACAGGCTGCAGCTGAGGGCTTGCTTTGCTCCGCTCTGAACTCACCTGGCACGGTCCCCCTGATCTGTCCCCAAAGTGCCACCCCAAAAGCCAGGAATCAGCCCTGCGCTCCCCAGGGATGGCAGCCAGGAGGGAAGGTGGGGGACACCCATGCAGGACTGCACCAGCGATGCTCTCGCCTTGCCTGAAGATGCAGTCGGTGTCACCATGGCAACTCGGGATGCTCCCATCCCCAGGCCCCACCCGGAGCAGCCCCCCCACCCCACGCTGTGCTTACCAGAGTGGGGGACAGAGCATCACCTCCCACCCAAACCAGCCTCCGCCCTCCCCAGAGCCCTGTCTGACCCAGCCCGCCAGCAGTGCTGCTTTCTTCAGTCACCAAAACCGTCGGCTCGGAGCAGACTGCAGCAAAATCCTGCCAATGGGCGAGCGGGGCCAAGCCCGGCACGGCTCCTGGCGGAGCATCGTCTCTGGCCCTGGCTGGGGCTGCCCAGCCCGGGGGGCTGATGGGGGAGCACCGTCCCTGGCAGTGGGGTGCACCAGCTGGGTGGGGAGCCCGTCCTAGGTGGCTGGCAGCAGGGTGCATGGCCCCGGTGCACCCACAGGCTCCAGACCTACCTGCGGGGAGTCCTCGGGTGCCCTGCCCAGGGTGAGATGGTGGAATGTGATCCCAAAGGGCCTCAGCCTGTGCTGGGAAAAACGAGGGAGCAGTGCACATGGCCCGGGAGCTTCTTCTGCTGCCTTGTGAGTAAAGGCAGAAGGTTTTTTTCCTACTTAAAAAAAAAAATCTGTATCTTTGTCTCTTGCTTTGTGTAGCCAGCAAGAGGGCAGGATTGAGCCCTGCCCTGGCCTCAGCCTCTTGCCAGGATGGCAGAGGGATCCCTCAAACTCCCCCAAAACCTCCCAGCCCCACAGTAAGGGATCAGAGGGGGGATGGAGTAGCCCCTCTCCTATTTTAGCTGAGCCGCATCACCACTTGCTTCATTTCTCGCGCTGGGAAGAGCCTTCGCAGCACAGCCAGGTCACGTCTGCCCTGGGGGACGCGGGCTGCCTCCCTGCCCAAGCCTGCTCCCCTCCAGCTCTCCCAGTTCCCACCGATTTGCTCCTCTCCGCATCCCCGCTGCGCTGGCTCCTCACTCGGCCCCCCCACTCCCAAGCTGCTGACTCACATCCTCTCTCCAGACGCCACCTTCCCTTGGCCTGGCTCCCTGCAAAGCACTTTGTGACTTAATGTGGCTCAGCCGGAGCCCGCAGGTGCAGGCAGTCAGGCTCTGAAACCCCTCATGAAGCCCCTCCAAGGAACCAACCGTGATGCTTCCAAAAAATGCTGCTTTCTCCCTTGCCAATGTGCTCGGCGCTGCCACCATAAACCCCCCTGCCCTGGACTTCTCTTCCCCTGGGTCCTGGATGCACCTGGGGAAAGCTTTGTGCACTTTGGGTCTCTTCCCTGCTCACTGCCATCCCCAGACACAGGGATGCTCTGGATGGAGCCCCAAACCTTGCCCCTGCTGCTGCCTGCTCTCTGGTGCCCAGACAAGGGCTGCCGGGGAGGCAGTGTCCTGGTGTCGCTCCTGTCCAGCTGTACACGGAGACCTTGGGCCGGACTCTGCTGAGGGCAGGGGCTGGGCAGCGGGGAGGACTGGATTAATGCGCTAATGCCAGATTATGCTCTAATGCAGGACTTCTGATGAGGGAGCGGCACCCGGTCCAGCCCGGGGGGCACTCACTCCCTGGGGCAGGCTCCCCACAACTGCCCCAGGCCCCAGCTTGGTGCTGCCTGGCTGTCCCCCGAGGAGCTCGGTCCTCAGGGGTGACACAGGACCGTGAGACAGGCAGGGGACACAGCACAGGGTCACCTCCATGCTCAGCTCTCAGCGGACTGGAGGTAACACCCCAGCCTAGGCAGCCCTGGCACTCCACTCTGCCGGACTCCACGGCAGAAGGATTAACCATCACAGCAGGGCTCCATGGCATCTGGACCCCCTTCTCCAACTGCCCCAGCTTCTTGGCACAGAGCTGTCCCCAGCCTGTGCTCCTCAATCCCATACCCATCAGTCAGGCAATGCTGCAGGCCATGTTTCGGCTACAGCAGGGACCAAGCTGCCTGCTGTCCCACCTCCCTTGGTCTCATGCCTGCCACTGGGCTACCCTGGGCACAGGCAGAGCTCAAAGCCTCTTGCAGGTTCCCACCCCAGCCTGGATGCATCCCCCATCAGTCAAGACTCTGTGACAGCTGTTCCTGCCCCTCCCTAAGTACAAATATCTCATCAGCCAATTTAGTCTTGGACCCCTCATGCTCTTTCTGCCATTTGCTGCCATCTCCCTGTGTCACTTTGTCCACATCTTCACCCCTAGACATCCCACCAGCAGCTGTGACCAAAGTGCCATGGAGCAGGGAGGGGACCAGAAACCTGCACCCACAAGTCATCCCCAATTCAGCAGAGCAGCAACAGCCCGAAGCTGTGATGAAGCCAGTGTCTGAGTAGCTCCCACAGAGGCAGAAGAGTTCCCATTTCCATCTGCCTTGAGGAACGTGTTATCCGTCATCCTTGCAGCGGAACGGAGAAGGGCTTGCGCAGAAAGCTGGGCTGAGGCAGGTCCTTTGCCAGCCACGTGGGTGCTGGGTCTGCATCATCCGGAGCAGTTTCCTCCCCACGGAGCAGCTTCGAGTCACTCTGGGGGATGCTGCCAACTCTTAATAGCAAGAGCACAGCTTCCCTGCTGTTTGTCCAGCAGGAGGAGGCACGGCTTGCCAGGCTGGCTGCTCCAGCCGCCCATCGCTCCTCCATGCCCCAGTGCCGTGGCCAGCACATCCAGTGCACGGAGTTTGCTCTGCAGATGGAGCAGCAGGGCGAGGGGAGTCCCACAGAGCTGTTGCTCCACGAGCTCCGGGCAGAAACTCCCCCTTTCATGGGTGACTATGCATCCTGGGGACCCACTGCCACCCAGGGTGCCTCCAGCAGCCCCACGCACCTTTAGGGAGCGAAAGAAGGATGCTATGGCCTGAGAAGAGCCCTCGCTGGGGCAGGAGGGGCTGAACCCACTGCAGGCTGCACCACGCGGCTTGTGCCCACCTCCCCTGCTGCAACGTCGGGTGGAGCAGATGGGGCATCCACCCTGAGGCATAGAGAGGAGATGTGCTGCTGCTGGAGGAATTTCAAACTAGGAAAGAGCTTGGATCCTTCACCAAGGCCCTGTGGTGACGGATCCCTGACTTGGCCCTGCTGCTCCACCTCTGAGCCCCAAACCCATGTGAATCCCCCATCCCTGCAACCCCAGACACTGCAGAGCCCTGCGGCAGGCAGTGAGGGGGCTTCCCTGTCCCTCCTGAGAGGGTCTCAGCCCCTCACTGCTCCTCAGGGAGCACTGAGTGGCTGCAGGGACCACAAGTCTGGGGACAAGCTCTATCCATCCCCTCACTGCTGCCCCACAGCTGCCTCCTCAGCCCAGATCCCTGTGGCATCATGCAGCAGCACAGGGGGCTGGCAAGTTAAAGCACACAACCTTTGAGAGGGGAAAACGCCAAGCTCCCAAGCCTGTCTGAGCGTTCCCACCCCCCTGCTTGCGTCCCCCCCCACCTCCCCTTTGCCTTGGGGGGAGCAGGAGGCTCCCAGGCAAGGGAAGGTTAGTGGTCCCCCCGCCCCGCTCCCCCCAGCAGCGGTACAAGGTCCTCTGGGGGAGGGAAAACCAGACATCTCTCCCCTCAGTAAGGCTCTGGCTGAGCCGACGCTGCATATTTAAATGCATGGGAGCATCTAAGCTCATCTCTCATTCCTTGACATTTCCAGAGACTCCAAGCTGTCTTCAATTACCAGTCTGCAATTAGCTCTTCCTAAATCCCCCAATGAGGCCTAGCACTCTTAATCAATGAAACACAAGGGAGGAGGGGAAGGACATGGCCTCGCTGCAGCTGGAAGCACTTTAAAAGGCTGGGGCTTGAGGCTGGAAGGACCCTGAGGGTGTCTCTAAGGGGATCCGCAGGGTGGGAAACCTCCACCAGTGCTGGCAGGTTGTTCAGCTCTGGAGACAAGACCCTACAAAGCCCCACGGCCGGGGGTAGGGGGTCCCTGGACAGACACCCCCAGCTCAGGGTGGAGACAGCCAGCACCTACGGCTTGGGTGTTACCCTGCGGTGCTGCAGACCCTTCTTGCTGGATTGTGGCATGCTGCTTCATCTCCCTCTGCCTCAGTTTCCCTCTCTGCAAAACACTGATGGGGCTCCCCCAGCATCCCTATAGGAGCTCTAAGGCTCCAATTCCACCCCAGTTTAAGCCAGAGTAAGTGAGAGCTGCCAGCTTCCCCAGCACAACATGTGGATATGGCCAAACGTGGAGTGGGTGGTGAGTATGTTTTGGCCCAGCCAGCTCACCACAAGGTCATATGAATGTCAATCTAAAGGCAGGGACAAGAGCACCCATTAGGGCCAGGGAGCAGCACAGGTCTGGGTGGGTTTACACAGCCACAGAAAAGCCTTGCACAGCACCCTGCCAGGTCAGCCCCCGTCACAGGGACATCTGTGCTGTCTTCCTGGAAGCACAGCTTTGCCTGAATGAGCCAGATTGGGCCTAATTAGCAGCTCTGCTGATGCACACAAAGGTAGAGAGAATCCAGCTTACCCTCCATGACCTGCAGAGCCAGCACAGCTCTTCCTGGCAGAGGGGAGCCTGGCTCAGAGGGGCTGGGGAGCACTGGATGCAGACCCCAACAGGAAAGTGCGTGCTGTGGATCTTGCTAAAGAAGCCCCGGCAAATTCAGTAGCCTGAAGCGTAGCAACCAGCTCTGAGAAAGGCAAAGCCTTCCCCTTCTCCACCCCACTCCCTGGGGGTCTGCAGAAGCACAGGGCTGGTAACCGGGCTAGCAACACAGCCCCCACAGCCTGCTGCTGCCAGGGAAGGGAGCCCGGCCCTGCAGAGCAGAGAGAGGGAGGAAGGAGGGGAGGGGGGGTAGCTTTAGGGGGGGGAAAAAATAAAAATAAGGTGTGGGATCCTAGTTAAATCCAGTGCGGCAGACAGGCATCAGACATTTCCATCTGGAATGGAGGAGGCCAGGAGAACTCACAGGCAGCCAAGGGGCACTTGGGTGGACCAGGACTGGCCTTGGGCACAACAAACAGGGGTGAGACTCTTACCCCCAACTCACACCGGGGAGTAAACCCCCTCTGAGAACCAGCCCCCCCCCCCCAGCCCC